AGTGGAGCTGACCTCCAGGACGTGTGGGTGGACCAGTTCACCCCTGGAGGTCAGCGTGTGACCCACTGCACTTGCTCTCGGACAGGCCGCCACCTGGCCACGTTCACCCGTCGGCCTGGGTTGAGTCTGTACACACTGACTACTGCGTCTCCTCCGGTTACTGCGTCTGGTCAGGTAGCCGCGTCTGGTCAGGTGTTTGCTGGCGCGTCCAGGTCTAGTCCAGCGTCTGCCCCCTGCTCGTGTCGTCCTCTGTCACACGAGACTCTCCTTTGGCACCACCGCCTTGGTCACCCCTCCCTGCCTCGTCTTCGAGGTATGGCCTCCCGTACCCTTGTTTCTTGTCTCCCCCGGTCCCTCCCTCCTCTTCCTCCGGGGTCTGCCCCTACCTGTGTTCCTTGTGTCAAGGGCCGGCAGCGCGCCGCTCCTCACTCCTCCGAGTTCCCTCCGACAGAGGCTCCCCTGCAGACTCTCCACATGGACGTGCGGGGCCCAGCCCGCATCCGTGGACAGGGTCACGAGCGTTACTTCCTGCTGGTCGTTGACAACTACTCGCGTTACACCACAGTCTTCCCCTTGCGCCGCAAGGGTGAGGTCACTGAGGTGTTGATCGACTGGATCCGCGGTGCCCGTCGCCAGCTCAGCGAGAGTTTCGGCTCGGACCTTCCTGTTTTGCGTCTGCACTCAGACAGAGGTGGTGAGTTTTCCTCTGACCTTCTGAGGGCTTTCTGTCATGCGGAGGGCATCTGCTAGATGTTCACGCTTCCGGCCTCCCTACAGCAAAATGGGATTGCTGAGTGCCGCATTGGCATGGTCATGGACGTCGCTCGTACGTCCATGATCCATGCGGCTGCTCCCCATTTTCTGTGGCCGTTCGCGGTTCAGTACGCTGCGCATCAGATCAACCTTCAGCCTCGTGTCTCCTTGCCGGAGACCACACCTACTCTGCGGTGGACGGGGAAGGTTGGCGATGCGTCTGTGTTCCGTGTCTGGGGATCTCGAGCTTTTGTCCGCGATACTTCCGCGGACAAGCTGTCCTCTCGTGCCGTTCCCTGGTCTTCCTGGGCTTCCCCCCTGACGCACCTGGGTGGCAGTTTTACCACCCCACCCCGCGTCGTGTTCTGTCCTCTCGGGACGTCACGTTTGACGAGTCGGTATCTTACTACCATCTCTTTCCCTACCGCACTGCCCCTCTCCCCCCCCCGCCACTCTTCCTCGCACCAGGTGCTCCTCCGGTAGACCCCCTCCCCCCTCAGGGTCCTGCCCCCTCAGGTGTGTCCCAGGTAGACCCTGTTGAGCCTGTCGAGGTAGCTGTCGACTCTGGTACTGCTAGGGGTACTGAGCCTGCGGGTGCGGGGCTTGGGGGTGCTGAGCCAGGGGTTGCTGAGTCTGAGGGTGCGGAGCCTGGGGGTGCTGAGCCTGAGCGTGTGGAGCCTGGGGGTGCTGAGTCTGGGGGTGCTAAGCCTGGGGGTGCTGAGCATGAGCGTGCTGAGTCTGGAGGTCCTCCGGGTGTCCCGTCACGGCAGGAGCCCCTCTCTCCGCAGCGGCTACGTGAGTGGTACGCTCGGAGCTGTAGCCGTGCTGCTGGAGCTACGGGACCTGCTGCTGGAGGTGCTTCTGGAGCTGGAGCTGCTGGAGGTGCTGCTGGTGCTGGAGCTGCTGGAGCCGCTGGTCCTGGAGGTGCTGGTGCTGGAGGTACTGGCGCTGTTGGAGGTTCTGATGGTGTTGGAGCTGCTGGAGGTGCTGGAGCAGCTGGTCCCGGAGGTGCTCGTACTGGAGGTACTGGAGCTGCTGGGGCTGGTGGTGCTGCAGGAGTTGGAGCTGTAGGTGCTGGAGCTATTGCTACTGGAGGTGCTGCTGGAGCTGGAGCTGCTGGAGGTACTGGAGCTGGTGGTGCCGCGGGAGTTGTAGCAGGAGACCCTGGAGCTGAGGGTATTGCTGCTATCTCTGCTGTTTCTGGAGGCGCTGCGCGGCCGCGGCCGTACTACGTTCCGCTCCTTCAGCAGGTTCTTGGTCTCCCGCCTTCTTCTGGTCCTACTCCTCCCTTACTGAGTCCATCGCCTGTCCAGTCGTAGTCGCAGTTACAGCCAGCCTCTCCACTGCCTGGTCCTTCTCCTTACTCTGGAACAACAAGAGGTCTTACGGAGCGTCGTGAGCCTGAGTCTCGTCCTGCGTCGCCTGAGTCTCGTCCTGCGTCACCTGAGTCTCGTCTTGAGTTGCCTGTTCGCGCTGTTCACACTAGTCGACGTGTTCCGTGTCAGCGTCCTCCTCCTGTCCCCGGCACTCACTATATGACGCTGCGTCCTTCCACTACTCCACAGCGTGTACCTCTGCCGTCTCCTCCTGCGTCCTCTCTTCCTGCCGGTCCGGACCCGAAGTCTGACTCCCTTCGTGCTGCTAGTCCTACTGTCACGCGTTTTCTGGCCACTGTTGTCACTGACCCTTCGTTTGAGTCCACTGCTGCGTCTGCTCTAGTTGCTGAGCTTGTTGACTTTGCTGCCGCCCGTCGTCTAGATTACGCCGCTAGTCTTGTTGCTGAGTCTGCGTCTGCGTCTGTCTGTCCTCCGTCCATCGGGGGTGAGTGTGCTCTTGGCATGGACGTCCTTGAGGACAGACAGGAGGAGTTTGAGTGCTTTGCCGCTGCTTTACCTCATCTCGTGTCCATGCTGCTTGCCCCTGAGGGAGACCCGGATGCGCTAGACATCCCGACCCCGCGCTCTTACGCAGAGGCGATAGAGGGTCCCTACTCCTCTCAGTGGCAGACAGCCATGGACGCCGAGATGGCTTCCTGGAAGTCCACAGGCACCTACGTCGACGAGGTTCCCCCGCCTGGGGCGAACATCGTCAGTGGCATGTAGATTTTCAGGGTGAAGCGGCCGCCGGGTTCTCCGCCTGTCTTCAAGGCGCGTTACGTTGCACGAGGCTTCAGTCAGCGACAGGGAGTTGACTTCTTCCAGACCTTCTCCCCTACCCCGAAGATGACCACTCTTCGGGTGCTGCTGCACGTCGCCGCTCATCGTGACTACGAGCTACACTCTCTTGACTTCAGCACAGCCTTCCTACAGGGCAGCCTGCACGAGGAGATCTGGCTGCGCCGCCCACCTAGCTTCACTGGGTCGTTTCCTGCTGGTACCCAGTGGAGCCTCCGGCGGTTTGTCTACGGTCTCCACCAGGCACCCCGTGAGTGGCACGACACACTGAGGACGACTCATGCTGCTCTTGGGTTTGCTCCTTCCACTGCTGACCCGTCGCTGTTTCTACGCACCGACACCACTCTGCCGCCGTTCTACATTCTCGTGTACGTAGACGACCTCGTCTTTGCTACTGCTGACACTGAGGCACTCGCCCACGTGAAGACGGAGCTGCAGAAGAGACACATGTGCACAGACCTGGGTGAGCTGACAAGCTATCTTGGCTTGCGGATCACCCGGGACAGAGCACAGCGCACCATTACCTTGACTCTGTCACACATGGTGCAGCAGGTCCTTCAGCGCTTCGGCTTCACGTACTACTCGCCACAGTCCAGTCCTCTGCCTACAGGTCACTCGCTCTCAGCTCCACCTTCAGCGGTCGTCACAGGGTTACACCTTCAGCCTTGGCTCCGGCTCTGTCTCTTGGCGGTCTACCCGCTCGTCTTCTGTTTTCAGCTCCAGTTGTGAGGCTGAGATCTACGCAGGGGCCATGGCTGCACAGGAGTTACGCTGGCTCACCTACCTGCTGACCGACGTGGGAGAGCTGCCTCGTTCTCCTCCAGTGCTGTACGTCGACAACAAGGCCATGATTGCCTTGTGTCAGGAGCACAGACTGGAGCACAGAACGAAGCACATCGCTCTGCGCTACTTCCTTGCTCGAGAGTTGCAGCAGCGTGGTCGGCTTCATCTTGCTTACGTGGCCACTCGGGCCAACACTGCTGATGTTTTCACCAAGGCACTTCAGCCTTGTGATCATCAGCGTTTCTGTACTGTTCTAGGCCTTGTACCTACTGTGCCTCACTTGCTTACTTCTTGACTCTGCTTGTACTGTGATCTCTATACATATACCTGCATGCTTACACTTGCTAGGTTGTGTTCACTGTATTGCTTGTTGTCCTTTATATAACTCTGCATGTGAACTGGCCTTGTGGCCATTTGCTTGTGCTCAGAATGCGTGGTGACATCGTGATCCACCCTGAGCTTGCTTTGCCTTTCTTGACCGGTCTTGTAACCTCTTCTTCTCCCCACTTTGCCTATGGGGGTGTGTCAAACTTATATGCTATAGTCTGTCTAGGCTGTAGTGGGGTAGTTCATATAGGGTACAACACTTTTAGGTTTCACACTTGTACCCACCTGCTTGCTAGTTCAGTCATTCCTTCCTTCACTATTCTGACAATACCGTCTTCGAGCCCCCCTTCCCACAGTCTGTGTCCCCGTATTTCCGCAGTCGTCACGTCCGCGAGGCAAGAAGAAGAAGGTACAGGATGCAGCGCCACCGTATGACGAAGAAGGCGCGGCATGCGTATACGGCGAGGGAGAAGCTGTACTGGCTGGATATGCTAGACACGCAGGCCGATCTCAGCATCCGGGGGTTGGCGCGGCTAGCTAACGTGCAACCAAAGCAGATTCGCGAATGGCGGAAATTGAAGGAGCGACTCCTTGTTTCAGCGGCGTGTCGTCGTCGCCTCGTTGGCGCAAGCCTTCAAGGCGGGCGTCCGACACCGCTACGGCACCTGGTTCGAGGAGGACGGGATCACAAGCACAACTCCCGCAGGTGAGCCCTTGTATGAAGCAATGGGGGCGTGTTGTCGATGTAAGAACAGTCGAATCACACAACCATACACCCTCCAATCCCTTACCCTTGGCCCCAACCCGCAGGCAACCTGAAGAAACCGCCGGCCGAACTCGTCCCGAAGTGGATTGACGAAGCGTGGGCCGACGTTCCCGGAGGAGATGGTGAGGAAAGTATTCCTCACCTGCGGCATCTCCAACGCAGAGGACGGGAGCCAAGATCATCTGATCCTGGCGCACATGCGGGATTCCGGCGAGGTGGAGGTGCTGGAAGACGTGATGGAGGAGGAGCAGGATGAACTGGTCTCCAACCCGTTCTACCCGGCCCCCGTAGTCACCCCTTTCGATGTGACCATCGAGATGGAGGAGGAGGCCGTGCTGGCCGCTGAAGCAGAGGAGGCCGATGAGGAGGCAGTACCTGCTAAGTCAGACTCGAGCGAGTCCGACGATGGAAACGCGAACGAAGCTGACGAGTGGAGCGACGAAGAGGATGAATGGTGGGCCCCTGGTCGCTATGAGGGGGCTGAGGTAGAGGAGTGGGTGGCGGGTGACGAAGATGAGTAGCAAGGCGGGGGCGGATTCCAAGGTGGTGGGTGAAGAGTGGAGCTGGCTGGGTGTTGAGAGGCTGCCTTGATTGTATTTTGTGACTCTTGTGGCCTACCATGTGCCACTGCTTGCTTAGTTGACATTAATTAACCTCTAAAAAACACTTTTGAGGTCGAGGGGGGGTCTTATAATGATTTCACCCCAATTGGGGGGTATAAGGAAAACAGTTTTGAATAATATACCCCCCCCCCCCCCCCCCCACCAATTAAAGACCCGGGAACATTATTATGGGGGGGTCTTTTATCCGGGGGAATACGGTACAACCCAATTAAGGTTAGGGTACATTCCTGTGGAGACACAAATGTCTCAATCGCTTTGTGACACACAAAAACAGCATAAACTGTAGTGTGTCCCAATTGCGAGTCGCATTTCCGCGACCATTACTGTATTTTTTATTGGTCAGCGTGAAACGCACTGACGTCGCTGACGAATTGTAATCTGACTCGTCAATGTGAAAAATTCGCACGCTGCTCGAAATGTCAATGCACCTGGACAGCCTGCAATGCCAATTTCGTGCGGGAAAAAATCCCGCTCGTCGAAACCACACCCCAGCCAAGCGGTTGAAAAAAGGGATGTACAGTCATTTGTGTCACCCAAACAAATGCGCACAACTGTACATCTCGCCTGGTCGCCTAGAGTCGCGATACATTGGTTGTTTGTGACACAACATTTGGCAAATTTACAGACACAGACTCGGGAAATCGGGGATTGAGACACAAGTGTCCCCGCAGGAATGTACCCTTAGTACTTGTACCAACTTTTCCTTAAATGCATTCATTCTCGTTCAGTATTCTGACAAGATTCACCACTTTGGCTATCCTATCTCCTCGTATCTCCGTACTTTATCAGTGTGCCCCCTTCCCCCTCCCCTCCCCCCCTCCCTTCCCCTTTCCTCTCTCCTTTATAAAGCCACACTAGAGGTTCCCTCGTAAGTGTCGTTTAAGCGCCGGAATGACAATCTCGGGAGTGGAGAGCTGTGGCAGGTGGCCGTGCGTGGGGAAGATTTCAACGACGCTCTTGCCGCCCAGGTGCAGGTGCAAGTACTCTGATACCATTACAGGCACTGCTAGGTCCTTGCTGGACTGCAGGATGTGACACGGCACCCGCACCTGGGTGTGTGGGGGGGGGGGAAGGGGGCAGGGCGGGGAGGGATGGGGAGGACGTGGGGGTGTGGAGGGTGGGGAGGGTGGGAAGGGCGGGGAGGGACGGAAGAGGAAAGGTAGATTTAGGAAGGATTAGACAGTGAGGCGAATTCCCCGGGCCACCAGTAAGGCTTCCTCACTTATGCTTGCATAGGATGGTTCTTACACACACATATAGAGTAATCATTGCATCCTCACTTGCATTGCTTCTGCATGCATACCCACACCTCATCATTTACATCATGCGGACTTTCCCTCACCGCCAGCCGCCTAACCCTTTCGGCACCCACCTGCGGGAGAACTGCGCGCATATCTATCCCAGCCGCCTCCGCTCCCCTCCCCTCCCCTCCCGTCCCCCCCCCGCCTCGCCCCCCTCCCCTCATCTGCGGGAGGATAGCGCGCATATCCGACTGGAAGATGGTTTTGGCGACGGAGAGCGCGATGTCGGGGCGGATGCAGAAGAAGGTGCGGCGGAACTCCTGCACGGCGCGTGCGTCGATGTCCGACCCCACCGCGAGCGCTCGTCCCCGCTCACCCGATCACACACCTGCCCCACCACCCACCCGAACCCAACCCCACCTCTACTCATCCCAACCCCACCCAGCCCATCCCATCTTCCCCTCTTCCCGTCGTCCTTCTCCTTCCACCGCAACCACCAGAGCCACCTTCAGTACTCCACCACTGGCGTGCCAGGAGTCTCCCCTCCCCTCCCCTCCGCTCCGCTCACCTGCGGAAGGATGGCGCGCATATCCGACTGGAAAATCGTCTTTGCGACGGAGAGCGCGATGTCGGGGCGGATGCAGAAGAAGGTGCGGCTGAACTCCTGCACGGCGGGCGCGTCGATGTCCGACCCCACCGCGAGCGGCGCGAAGCCCGACACCCACGCGCGGAAGTTGCTCTGCATGGCCAGGAACAGCTGGTTCAGATCCTCCTGCTCGAAGCCGCCGAAATAGTCGCCGTCGTTCAGGTACCTGCGGGGGAGGGGAGCGCGGCGGGGAAGGAGAAGGGAGAAGGGAGAAAACGGGAGGGGGGTGGGTGGGTGAGAGGGAGGGGGGGGGAGAAGGGGGAAAGGGAACAGCGTGACTCGACTCTTGAGTCGACTTAAAGTGCCCCGAAGTCATCCCCGTCGTTACTTGGCGGATGCGCGAGGGCGGAAGGCGCAAGGGAGGGAGGGAGGGCGCAAGGTTGGGGATATGGACTCATACGGCTTCTCAAACTCCGCCGTTGTCGTTTACCTGGCCGCACTACTACCGCTTTTTTAAGTCGACTCAAGAATTGGCCGCACTACTATCACCGTTATGGTTTTGAAGGAATTTCGCTACGGTGTTTGGGGAATTTTGAGGCCACTAAGAAACAGGCTAGCACTACTGATCGTACTACTGTAGCCGTAACAGCTACTAACAGCCAATGCTCGTACTCCTCAGCCCCCTTGAAACTACAAACTATTGTCTGAATAACACAAGGAATTGAGCATCGGCGGTCTCGCCAAAAGGTCGTTTATCCGCGGTACGGGCTCGCAACGAGGTGGCTTTCGTGTCGACTTAAAAGCTATAATACGTTATCCACGGCTGCTCTATTCTTCCTGGAATGACGGGCTGGAATTGAGCATCCGCGGGAGCACGACCGGGGGAGAGGGGGGAGGGGGGGGGGGGGCGCAGGATAGGATGCGACCCGCGGAAATAGGAACTGACAGAATTGGTTGGGAGAGGAGAGGAGAAGAGAGGAGAGTAGAGGAGAGGAGAGGATACGATAGGACGAAACAAGACCCAATAGCCAAGAGCCCAGGCTGCGGACGCGCTCCGCCTTACCTAGGCGACGCGCCGAGAAGCACGAGCTTCTTAAACACATCGGGCCGTTCGATGGCGGCGATGCACCCGATCATCCCGGACACGCTGTGCCCCACGTAGCAGCACTCCTGCACGTCTAACTCGTCGAGAATCGCTAGAAAGTCGTCCGCATACGCATGGAGCGTGGAGTATCGCGCGAAGGAGAAGTTATCTGGGTTGGTTGAGCCCGCGCCCATGAGGTCGAAGAGGAGGAGGCGGTAGTCGTCTAGGAGATGCGGCACGATGTGCTGCCATACGGATTGGTCCGTGCCGAAGCCATGGCCGAGGACCACGAGTTGCGCGCCGGAGCCGATTAGCCGCACGTTATGCTGCTCGAGAATGGACGACATGCCAGCTTAGAGGGAAGGGGCGACGCGGGTGAAAGGAGAGCGGCCTGGAGAGGACGAGGCGTGAAATGGCGTGTCTTGCTGTCTTGCTGGCTGGCTCAAGAGGAGATAAGTAGGAACAGTTAATTCACAAACGCTGGGAAACTTTTAACGAGGGAACAGTATATAAGAACTTAGGAGTCTAAGAGCCGTGGGGTCGGAGCGACGAGAACAGACGATGGATGTTGGGAATGGAACGACGAAAGAGTAGGACTGGAATCTACACGTAACAGAGTCGATGGAGCATCCTCCGGGCAGTATACCTTTAATTAGTACACACGTAGTAGCTCTTCATTGGCAGCAGTCACAGCTTATGGATTGCATGCTAGTTACTAGATCCTCCTCCAGTGAAGCTGCCCGAACCGACAGCGCACATCAAGTACAAAACTAGGAATGTTTTCGCCTAAGAAGGGAGGGAGGAATAGAGGACCCCACTGGCTACAGTTCCAGCTTTCTCGGCAAATACTCAGCAATGGTCACAATTCTTTGAGAGGTAAAAAAAAGTGTAGAATTTAGGAATAGGAAGATGTATGCTCTGATTTGATTTGAAGCCTGAGCCCGAAGTGACAGCTGAACGGAATCCAAACATGCCAGATGGGATAGCCCTGGTGTCGGAGCAAGCGCAATAATTTGATTTGCTGCGTGAAGGCGCGGAGAGGCACAATTTGGTTCATCATCATCAAGCCTCGGGACGGGACGGGACAGATGGGATAGGTGCGCGGGATGGAGTGGCTTGGCTAGCGGTGGAGAGGAGCTGTTCAAGCTAGGGGGTCGGGGAAGAGGGGGTTGAATGGGTGGGGGGGAAGCGGTTGCGCGATGCCAGAGGCACCGCTCCACTTCACTCCACCAATCTAGACTTGACTGCGTCGGCATGCAGTATGTGCTGTGCTGCCCACGCTGATCACCACCCAAAGAGCAGATGAACAGACACCGTGAGTGAGATCGCGGTCCTGGGGTGTCCAGGACACCCGAACTCTGGACACACACGTCAGCATCAGCACGTGTTCCTCGCATGGCCTCCACTGACATGAGTTTGCTAATATCTGCTCGATTACTTGTCGAAACATCATTCGCGAGAGGTCTAAAACCCCAAGTTTTTTCCCTACTTTTGTTGTACACGTAATGAGCTGCACACTCGAAGTGCACGTTTTTCCCACACCTAACGCTGAGCTGGAGGCCGGATGGGTGTCCAGGACACCCCAGGACCGCGACCTGAGAGGAAATTTTCGCTGTAACAGTAAAGTGCCAAATACAAGACCCACCGCCATTGCAATGCAGTGGACAGGACACCCACCCCGACTCTGAGCTGTCATGCCCTCCACCTGGCAACGCCAACTACCTTCTGACGTGGCCCATTCATCAGAGGTCTAGGGCCGCCCTTGGTCAGCAGTCAGGAGTCAGGACCTCGGTTAATCTTGGACCTTGGTTATGTACACTTTTTATATAGAGTGGTGTAAGCTAGGTGAGTAAGTGCTCTGAATTCTCTGGCTCCTCATTTCTAAATCTTCCTTCATCAACGAGCACCTAAACAGTACATGTTACACCCGATTGCATAAATAGAATGTATATGCGTTTAGGTTACAGGAAGAGGCACGTGAATAGGGATGGGGGAGAGAAAAGAGGGGAATAATAGTCCAGAGAAAGTATGGGTTAGGTGGAAAATTTCCCTTCAAAATATTGGGAAGTATTATAAAGGAAATGCTTATATGAGATTGATCGGATATCCAATGAAAAAATGGCTTGTATGGACTAGCATAATAAAGTGGCATGAATTGTTAGTTTTGCATGTATTGCCTGCCCTCTGGTGACCCCTATTTCATACTGGCACGTCATTTTCGTGCAGCCAAGCCTTGCTGCTGACGAATAGAATCAAAGCTGCGTGCGTGTCGCTGTGGCTGAAGCCTCTGCAGGCTTGGTGCGACCAAACCTAGACTTTCAGATTTCCATCACTCGCCCAACCACCTCCCAGCCCAAACCTCTGTCGCATATGGTTACACAGTAGAAAGCACGTCGTTTCGTCAACGTCGTTTCACCCTGATCGGCTGGCTTTCATGCCACATCCCCGCTTTTGGCGGTTGCCACTTTTGTGAACTCCGCTTTCGTCGGCTCGCCGATTCGGCCAGCACACTCGCGACGAAATGTGACATGAGACATAGCGATGACCAGAACCCCAACGCTTGCGATGTACGGCAGGGCGTGCGACAGCAATGTTTGTTCGCACGGAGGGACCAAGTTTGGCTTGCAGACAAAGCAAGGGCCATTCCCAAGAATCAAACCAGTAGGTTTCGTAACATCTGAACCGCTGTGGATAGTATCGACACCAAACGTCAAACCTTGTTAGCTTGGTGACACCTATCCAACTGTAGCTTTCTCGGCAAGCCCAAGCCTTGCAAGTTTTTACCACAAAAATAAGTGTAAGCAGGAGAACACCAAGGGACGAGCAACTAACTGGTGCTCTATCCCAGTCACTTCTAGAGACAGCAGCACCATTGTTTAGAAGACGCACACACGTCCCTTACGGATAATTATAGAAGACGCCTCGGTAATTTGACGAGCGAGAGAGTGCGTGTTTCCGTTGCGTCCATTAACTTGCGTCGCGAACCGACTGGATCGCGTTCCTTTCGTTCCAACAGCTCACCCAAGCCGCAATCGCCTCGCCATGTCGCTTTGACGGAATAAATCAGTATCGTTCCGGGGAATGCTGGGGGGAGAGCGTCGGTGGTTGCCGTAAATGGACGTCGTCAGTTATCCAGAGCGATTAGCGTGTGGCGTTCTCCGGCATTCTAGACACGATCGACCTCCGCGGGTTCGTTCCCTCGTCGCAGTCGCACCCTAATCATGCTTCCGCGTTTCCTTCGCGCGGCATGCCGATTGTTTCAATTCCTAAGCCCAACCAACGCCTTGACTAGCCATGTCCTACCGAAAGACTTTCGTAAGCGACCTAATGTATTCCCTTTTCAGTTGTCTTCACAGTTATTACGTCGTCCATTTCACCCCCTCATGCCCTCTTCCCATCTACCCTCCCCTCGCGTTTTTAATCCCGTTTTCTTCCAGAGTCGTAGGCGGTTTCTTCTTCATTGGAGCTGCAGAGTAGTGTCATTACGGCAGCGGAACTAGGACCCTAAACCAGGAGGAAATTGGCCCCAGAAGCTGCATGAATGGCCGGGAATGGGGAGTGGGGCCCCGACGGCGGCTCCGCGTTCAACGGCGCAACAGGCGGCGGGATTGTCGGCCATGGCGGCCAAGGCGGTCACGGAGATTACGCCGAGGAAGGTGATTACGGGGAAGAGGACGGCGCGTATGAGGATTATTTGCCGGAGGACGGCGGCCCTGGTCCTCCGCACCCCCAAGGCGGAGCGGAGTACGGGGAGTACGCGGAGTACGGGGAAGAGGGCGCGGGGATGGGCGGAGGGTACGCGGAGCAGCAAGGGTATATTGAAGGGGGGGAATACGAGGCTGATGGTGGTGAATATGGGGGGGGATATGAAGGGCAGGAGGGATATGAGGGACAGGAGGGATACGAGGGACAAGAGGGATATGAGGGACAGGAGGGTTACGAAGGTCAAGAGGGTTACGAGGGAGAAGAGTACATGGAGCACGAGATAGGTCACCAGCAGTACGACGAATATGGTAACCCTATTGGCGAAGGAGAGATGTACGACGAATATGGTAACCCTATCGGCGAAGAGGAGCTGTTAACCCAGCAGCAGCAGGATCAGGGGCAGTACCATGCGCAGGGACCTGGGTCTGGCCCTGCTGGTGGTGCTGGTGTAACCATGACTCCCCATGGTTCGCAAGGGAGCTACAGAGAGGGGCCTAGCCCGGGGAGAGGATCGGCAGGAGCAGCAGCAGCAGGGATGGTGCCTCTACAGCAGCAGCAGCAGCAGTATGAAGGGGAGTACGACGACCAGGAGCAGTATGCGGAGGGGCATCAGGAGGGGTATGAGGGCGAGGAGGGGTATGAGGGTCAGGAGGGTTACGGAGGGGAGGAAGGGTATGCTGGGGAAGAGGGTGGGTATGAGCAGGAGGGGCAGGAGGGAGTGGTGTACGCGCAGGGGCAGCACGAGCAGGGGGATTTTGACGAAGGGCAGTATGAGGAGGGGTATGACGATCAGCAACAGTACGGCGAGCAGCAGCAATACGGGGAGCAGGGTCAATACGAAGGGCAAGAACAGTATGAGGGGCAGGAGCAGTATATGGAAGGGGAGTATATGGAAGGGCAATACCCGGAAGATGGGCAGTACGAGCAAGAGGGGCAGTATGAGCAAGGGGTGCAGTACGAGCAAGGGCATGGGGAGATGGGGTACGAGGGGGAAGAAGGGGCGGTGTATGAAGGCGAGGTGTGCACATGTGAAGAGTACGGCGGTGTCCCACACGAGCCTCACGATTTTCACGATGATGATGGTATCAGAGCAGGAGGGTACGAAGGCCACGATCAGGGGGGCGTTGGGAACGGACAGGGGTATGTTGAGGGAGGGATGGAGGGGGAGGAGTATGGGGAGGAGGGGTATATGATGGGGGAGGAGGGGTATGGTGGGCATGAGGGAGGGTATGTGAACAAGTATGGGGAGCAGGTGGAGTGGGTGGAAGGGGAGGAAGGGTACGTGGGGGAAGGGGGAGGGGAGGGGATGGCGGGTCATGATGGGATGGGGGGTATGGGAGGGATGGGGCACTATCCCCTGGGAGCAGCAGGAGTAGATGTCTCTGGTGCTGCTGCTGGTGCTGTAGGTGGTGCTGGTGGCGCTGCTATGTACGGGGAAGACGAGCGGGATGAGGATGATGCTGACGGGAGGATAGAGCATGAGATAGACGAGGAAGATGAGTTTGGCGCGTACGACCTTGCACTGAGGAAGCACCTATCGGGGATACCAGAAGGGGACGAAGAGGCAGAGGCAGAAACACCTGCTCCAAGGTCTAAAGGAAAGTTTGTTCTTCCTTCCATGCTGGAACAGGGTGGGACGATTCAGGAAGGGAGTGATGAGGGCGGGGGAGGGGACTGGGAGGAAGGGGATCGGGAGGAGGACGAGGAGGGAGAGGAGAGGGGAGGGGAGGAGGAGGAGGCACGGGGCAGAAGGGCGAATGGGAGGGCGGGTCGAGGGGAGCAGGAGGGTTATCGAGACGGGGAGGGGGAAGGGGAAATGGCAGGGGATGGGGAAGAGGAAGGACCGGGGTCAGTGGTCTCGTTTGAGAGCGGTGAAGAAGGGTTGGATGAGGATGAGCAGGCTAGAGGCGTGGTGGAGAGCCGGATAGTGGAATCAGGTCGGGCTTTAAACAAAACCAGCACTGGTTCTGGGTCTACGAGAGAGAACGAGACAGGATCTGTGATAGAGAGGGATACTGCTGCTAAGAGCTGGGGTAAGTTTGCGCACCCTGCATTGGGTAGGGGAGGGAGGAAGAACGGGGGGAGAGTGAATGGGGAGGTGGAGGGGGAGTATGGGGGAATGAATGGGGATGTGCTATATGAAGATGATGAGGAGGGGTATAGGGAGGATGAGTATGGCGAGGAAGGGGGGTATGGTGAGGAAGGGTATGGGGAGGAGTATGGGGAGGAGGGCGAGATGGGCGAGGAGGGAGAGAGGTATATGGAGTATGAAGGGGAGGAGGGGTATGGGGAGGAGGGGGGGGGGGTCGGGTGGCGAGGAGGAGAGGGAGGAAGGGGGAGAAAGCGGAGGAGAGGGAGAGGGAGGAGAGGAGGAAGAGCGAGAGGGAGAGGGCGAGGGAGGGGGAGGGGGAGAAGGAGGAGGGGGAGGAGGCGGGTTTGCGTTGCTGTCAATGGGGAAGGATATGCCATTGGCATTGGAAGGTCAACCTGTGGATTATTCTGTTGGGGATCTGGAAAAAGCCTTTCGTGCCATGCAGGGTGGAGGAGGGGCAGGGGGAGGGGCAGGAGGGGCGGGAGGGTCCCTTGCTTCTGCCTTCTCCGCTGCAGCAGCAGGAGCGGGAGCAGGAGCGGCGGACGCGAGAGCAGAGAAGGGTGGTGGTGGTGGTGGCAAGTCGGGACAGAAAGGGAGTGGCGGAGGAGGAGGCGGAGGGGGTTTTGCTCTGCTGGAGCTACAGGATGGGATCGATGGGTTGATTGGGCAACCGGGGCAGCGGATAGATGATTCTGTTGGGGATTTGGAGAAGGCTTTCAGGCAAATGCTGGGCGGGAAACTGGGACAGGGGCAGGGGCAGGGGCAGGGGCAGGGGGGGCAATCGGGGGGTAAAGGTGGCGCAAGAGAAAGGGGAGGTGATGAGGAGGGTGAGGAGGGGGAGGAGGAGGAGGAGGAGGGAGAGGAGGGAGAGGAGGGAGCAGGGATGAGCTTAATGGATAGGATGAATCAGCTGCAGCAGATGCAGGGGGGCGGGGGCGGGTTGGGAAGTCCGATGGGCGGGTTTGGAGGTATGGGGAGTCCTATAGGTGGCGGCGGCGGCCTAGGCAGTCCCATGCTGGGAAACGGCTTAGGCAGCCCTGCTTTTGGCGGGTTGGGAAGCCCTCTTTCTGCTCTAAACAGCCCCATGGGTTTCCCTTCGCAATTGAAGTTTCAGGGGCAGGGGGAGGGTAAGGGAGAGGAGAGGGGGGGAGAGGATGGGGACGAGGAAGGGGACGAGGAAGGGGAAGAGGATGGAGATGGGGAGGAGGAAGAGGAAGGGGATTTGCCGCCGACCCCGGTTCCTGCGAACGCGCTGCAGCTTATGATGCGTGAGAGTAAGAAGTTTATGGAAACAGCGGAAGATGAGAGTGATGATGATAGCTTTGCCCAGGAGGCGAGGGAGCAGGCTGAGTTAGAGGCAGCTGCTGCCGCAGCCGCAGCAGCAGAAGCAGCAGCAGGAGGAGGAGGGGCGGAGGAAGAGGAGGGAGGTGAGGAGGGAGGGGAAGGTGGTGTGGGTGGGTTTGGGATTATGGACCGGTTGTTGAGTTTTCAAGAAGGTTTGGAGGATGGAGAGGGGGGTATGGGGGGTGGGATGGGGTTTGGCGGGTTTGGGGGGTTTGGGGGTTTTGGCGGAGGGGGTGATGGGGGTGGGGGGGGGGGCAAGAGGGGGAGCGGGAGGGGAAGGGGGAGAAGGAGGGCTTATGGGTGCTTTTGCACGACTGCAGCAGGCTTCTGGTGAAGAGGGAGGAGGTTTTGGCAGGGAGGGAGGTGAAGGGAGGGAGGAAGGAGGTGATATGAATAGGGATGGGGATGGGGAGGAGGAAGGGGGTTTTGGGAGTGAGGGAGAGGGGAGTGTTCTGGAGCATGATATAGAGGAAGAAGGGGAGGGGGAGGAGGAGTATGGGGAGGAGGAAGAGGGGGAAGAGGGGGTGGGCGAGAGGGGAGGAGGGGGGCGTGGTGGAGGTAGGGGATGGGGGTTTCCAGGAAGGAGCAACGGAGGAGGACCGGAGGAGTACGATGGGGAAGAGGAGGAGAATGGGGAAGAAGGGGGACGGGTGGAGGAGGGGGAGGAAGAGGGTGAGAGAGAGGATGGTGGGGAAGGGTATGATGAGGATGGTCCAGGCTTGGGGTATGGTGGGGAGGGAGAGGAGTACCAAGGAGAGTACCAAGGGGAAGGTGGGGCGGAAGGTGAAAGGGAGGGGTACGATGAGGAGCAGGAGAGGTATGATGGGGAAGAGGAGGAGATGCAGCAGGAGTATGGAGAGCAGCAGTACCAGGAGGGGCAATTCGAGGAGGGGCAGTATGGTGAGGAGGAGGAGGGGCAGTTGGAGCAAGGGGAGATGGGCGAGTTGAGTCAAGAGCAGCAGGATTTGGATCCTGAGCAGGAAGGGTTCTACTCTGATGAAGCAGGTGGGCAGGTGTATAACGAGGATGGGTATGAAGGGCAGGGAGAGGCGCAGGAGTATTTAGAGGGAGAGGGAGAGTATGTGGAAGGGCAGGAGAATTTTTTGGATGAGAACGGGCAGCTGGTGAATGAGAACGGGCAGTATGTGGATGAAAATGGGCAGCTGTTGAATGAGAACGGGCAGTATGTGGATGAGAACGGGCAGCTGGTGAATGAGAACGGGCAGTATGTTGATGAAAACGGGCAGCTGGTGAATGAGAATGGGCAGTATGTGGATGAAAACGGGCAGCTGGTGAATGAGAACGGGCAGTATGTGGATGAGAACGGGCAGCTGGTGAATGAGAACGGGCAGTATGTTGATGAAAACGGGCAGCTGGTGAATGAGAATGGGCAGTATGTGGATGAAAACGGGCAGCTGGTGAATGAGAACGGGCAGTATGTGGATGAAAACGGGCAGCTGGTGAATGAGAATGGGCAGTATGTGGATGAAAACGGGCAGCTGCTGAATGAGAACGGGCAGTATGTGGATGAAAACGGGCAGCTGGTGAATGAGAATGGGCAGTATGTGGATGAAAACGGGCACCTGGTGAATGAGAACGGGCAGTATGTGGATGAAAACGGGCAGCTGGTGAATGAGAATGGGCAGTATGTGGATGAAAACGGGCAGCTGGTGAATGAGAATGGGCAGTATGTGGATGAAAACGGGCAGCTGCTGAATGAGAATGGGCAGTATGTGGATGAAACTGGGCGGTTGGTGGACGAAAACGGGCAGTACATAGATGAAACCGGGCAGTATGTGGACGAGAACGGGCATTATTTGCAAGAGGATGGGGCAGGAGAATTAGGGTTTGACGACGGGGGAGGGTTCATGAGTGATGGGATGGGAGGGATGAGAAGAGGCACACCTTTAGAGGTGGTGTATGAGGAGGGGGAGGAGCAGATGGAGGAGCAGGAGGATGAAGGAGAGGAAGGAGAGGGGTATCGTCAGGAACAGGGTTATAGTGATGGGCAGGGTTTTAGCGACGGGCAGGAGCAGTATGAGGACGGTCAGGGTAGCTTCATTGAACGGCCGGATGTGGAGCAGCAGGAATCGTATGGTGGAGATGCGCTGGGCAGCTTTATTGAACGGCCAGATGCGTCTGGTGATGGTCAGGGGAGCTTCATCGAACGGCCGGATTATGAGGGGGGAGAGGAGGAGGGGTATGGAGGAGAGGAGGGGGAGTATGGGGGAGAGGAGGAAGGGGGGTATGTGGATGCAGATGGGAATTATGTGGAGCAGGGGCAGCAGGGGTATGTGGATGAAAACGGAAATTTCGTGGAAGGAGGGCAAGGGTACGTGGATGAGCATAGAAATTTCGTTGAAGGAGGGCAAGGGTACATGGATGAAAATGGAAACTTCGTTGAAGGAGGACAAGGGTACATGGATGAAAATGGAAACTTCATGGAAGGGGGACAAGGGTACGTGGATGAGAATGGAAACTTTGTGGAAGGAGGGCAGGGGTATGTTGACGAACATGGTAACTTCGTTCCGATGCATGAGGGGGAGTATGTGGAAGCAGGAGAGGGGTATGTGGATGAAAACGGTAACTTTTTACAGGGTCAGATTCAGCAGCAGCATGAGCAGGAGCAGCAGCAAGGTTACGTGGATGAGAATGGTGAATACACAACAGAACAGGAGGGGATGGGGGAAGGAGAGGGGGAGGAAGGAGGAGAGGGCCAAGGCCCGCTCAGTCCCATGGGGGGTTTTATGTCTGGACAGGGGATGATGGGAGGAGGGCATATGGGCATGGGTCCAGGGTTCGGGCCTATGAGTCCCATGGCCCCCCTGTCCCCCGCGTCTCCCATGGGAGCAGGCAATACCATGGGTTTTGCGTCTGAGGAGCAGCATCAGGTGTATGGGCATGGGCAGGGGCAGGGGTATGGGGAGCTAGGGCCTATGAGTCCCATGTCCCCGTATGGAAATCAGGGGCAGCAGCAGGAGCAGTATGGTATGGGGGTTCTTGGTAGCCCTATTGCAGGAGGAGGAGGAGGAGGAGGAGGAGGAGGGTCAGGAGGATCAGGAGGGTCGGGAAGAGGAGGCAGGATGTTTCCTCCTAGCCCCCGCAGTCCCCACATGCCAATGCACCCGCCGTCCCCCCGCCAGCAGTTCCTGCAACAGCAGCAACAGCAGGGGCAGGGGCAGCAGCAGGGGCAGGGGCAGGGGCAGCAGCAGGGGCAGCCGCAGCCGGGGCGGCGTGTGATTCGGCACGACTCCTCCCGATCCTTTGACGACCGGGCTTCCAGCAGTCGAATGTCTTTCACCGAACGGGACAACAGACCCTTCCCTGGTGCTGGTGGTGGTGATAACTATGCTGCTGGTTCTGCTCCTGGACTCTCTCCCACTGCCTACTCCCCTGTAGACTTCTCCAGCCGCTCCAACCCCCCCTGGGCTTCTAGCCCTGGAGGAGGAGCGGGGGGCCGCGGGGGAGGGAGAGGCGGCGCGCACAGGGCAGGGAGCAAATCGTACGGGGGGGAGATGGACAGGTATACAGGGAGGGAGAGGTGGGCGATGGGGCAGAGGATTGAGCTGGAACGTCCCAAGAGCCGGCAGGGGGGTTATGATGAGAACGGACGGCCGGTGAGTCGGCAGGGAGGGTATGATGAGAATGGGAGACCGCTGAGTAGGAGAGGGTCGAGGGAGGATGAGCGGCCGTTGAGTCGGCATGGCGAGAGGCCTAGTAGCAGCAGGTCGTTCAGAGGGGGGTATGAGGGTATGCTGTCGCCACAACAGCAGCAGCAGCAGCAGCCGTGGCAGCAGCAGCAGCAGGAGCAGGAACAGCCGTGGCAGCAGCAGCAGCAGCAGCAGGAACCGCCATGGCAGCAGCAGCAGCAGCAGGAGCAGGAACAGCCGTGGCAGCAGCAGGGGATGGGCAGCAGCATGCATGGCGGGTCGGTTCAGGAGCGGGGTTCGTTCCAAGAAAGAGGGTCGTTCAAAGAAAGGGGGTCTTTTCAAGAAAGGGGATCGATGCAGGAAAGAGGGTCGATGCAAGAAAGAGGGTTGTTTCGGGAAAGAGGGCGACCGGGATCGTTTCGAGAGCGCCCGGGTCAGGGATCGTTCCGGGAAAGAGGCTCTTTCAGTGAGCGAGGATCCTTCCAGGAAAGGGGATCGTTTCGGGAGAGGCAGGGGCAAGGTGGGGGCATGGGGCAAGGTGAATCGGACGATCCTTACGCTGAGGAGGCTTATATCTCAGAGAAAATGCCCACTCTGCGAGCAGAAGGGTTACCAGCAGCCCCTAGGGGGAGCGGTGGAGGAGGGGGAGGGGGAGATGGAGGAGGGGGGTATGGGCGTAGGCTTTCGGGCAGCCGAGACGGGCAGCAGAACGAGGAGTTTGCGTTCGGGCAGTTGGGAGGGGGCGGAGGCGGAGCAGGGGGAGGAGGAGGGATGTATGTAGTGCCTGAAGAGGAGGAGGAGGAAGAGGATGAGGATGACTCTCCTAGCCCTGAAATGGTTACCAGAACCACGAGTGTGCGATCTAGCCGATCCGGAGGGTCTAGATACTCGAGAGATGGGGCTGACGGGGGGCTGAGCGGAGGGAGCGAGGGCGAAGGCGAGGGGAGTCCCATGGGGGGTGGTGGCTTCGCGTTTGGGGCTTCACCTGCTGGTGGTGGTGGTGGTGGTGGTGGTGGTTTGGGGGGCTACGGGGGGGATTATGGAGGGATGGGAGGAGGAGCAGGAGGGGCGGGAGGAGTGGGGGCTGCGGGGCAGTATGGGGAGTTCGGGGGAGGGTTAGGGTTAGGGTTGATAGGAGGGGAGCTGGGACCAGTTCCCGAGGTTGATGAAGATGCATTGGAGGAGGAAGAGGAAGAGGAAGAGGAGGAGGAGGGGGAAGAGGGGGAGGAAGAGGGGGGGTTTTCTGCAGGAGAGTTTGACGGGCGGCAGTTGGAGGAGAGTGGTGTGGGAGAGAGTGAGTTGGAGGAAGGGGAGGTGGGGGAAGGAGAGGAGGAAGGAGAGGAGGAGGGAGAGGAGGGAGAGGAGGAAGAGGAGTACGGGCAAGGGTACGGGGAGGACCATGGGGAGGAGTATGGGGAGTTTGGAAGCCCGATCGGCATGGGAGGGGCAGGGGCGATGGGGCGATATGAGATGGAGGCTGGAGATAACTTCCAGTTGCCGCCACAGCAGGGGCAAGGGCAGGGGCAGGGGCAGCAGCAGCAGCAGCAGCAGCAGCAGCAGCAGCAAGGAGGGCAGGATGAGCTGAACGCGTGGCAGCAGCAGCTAACGTCTCAGATGTACTCGCCTCGACCGCAGCTGCCAGCGCATCTCATGCATCAGATGGGCATGGGTGCAGGCATGGGTGCAGGTATGGGTGCGGGCACAGATTCTCTCTACCAGCATGGGCAGCAGGGGCAGGGGGGTATGATGATGCAGCTAGGCATGCTGTCCCCGCGGCCGGACAGCAACCAGCAGCTGTTAGTGCATGCGCCAATGCTGCAACCACAGGGGCAGCAGCAGGGAGCAGGGGTTGCACCCCAGGCTCCTCTACAGGCAGTGCAGCCACAGCAGCCGTCCCCACCCGCTAAGAAACGGTCTCCCAGGCAGCAGAAGCAGCAGCAGGCGCAGCAGCAGCTGCTGCAGGCTCAGAAGGCTGCTAGCTCCCCGTCGCCCCTCTCCCAGCAGCAGCAACAGCAGCAGCAGCAGCAGGTGCAGGCATCAGGGTCGCCCATGCAGCAGCAGCAGCAGCAGCAGAGGGCTCAGATCACGCCTCAACCCCCTCCTCCTGCGCCCGAGGGTCAAAAGGGAGGGAAGAGGAGGCCGCAGCAGAGGAAGGGGCTGAGGAAGAACCAGCAGGGAGCAGGGCAGTTGGGAGCAGGCACAGGCGATCAACAGCAGCTGCTGCAGCAGCAGGGGCAGCAAGGGCAGCAGGGGCAGGGGCAGCAGCAGGGGCAGGGACAAGGGCAGACGAGGGGTCTTGGTGCTGGTTCTGATGCTGGTGTTACTGGTGGTGGTGGTGGTGGTGGTGGTGGTGGTGGTGGTGGTGGTGGTGGTGGTGGTGGTGGTGGTGTGGTGGTGGTGGGTGGTGGTGGTGGTGGTGGTGGTGGTGGTGGTGGTGGTGGTGGTGGTGGTGGTGGTGGTGGTGGTGGTGGTGGTGGTGGTGGTGGTGGTGGTGGTGGTGGTGGTGGTGGTGGTGGTGGTGGTGGTGGTGGTGGTGGTGGTGGTGGTGGTGGTGGTGGTGGTGGTGGTGGTGGTGGTGGTGGTGGTGGTGGTGGTGGTGGTGGTGGTGGTGGTGGTGGTGGTGGTGTGGTGGTGGTGGTGGTGGTGGTGGTGGTGGTGGTGGTGGTGGTGGTGGTGGTGGTGGTGGTGGTGGTGGTGGTGGTGGTGGTGGTGGTGGTGGTGGTGGTGGTGGTGGTGGTGGTGGTGGTGGTGGTGGTGGTGGTGGTGGTGGTGGTGGTGGTGGTGGTGGTGGTGGTGGTGGTGGTGTGGTGGTGGTGGTGGTGGTGGTGGTGGTGGTGGTGGTGGTGGTGGTGGTGGTGGTGGTGGTGGTGGTGGTGGTGGTGGTGGTGGTGGTGGTGGTGGTGGTGGTGGTGGTGGTGGTGGTGGTGGTGGTGGTGGTGGTGGTGGTGGTGGTGTGGTGGTGGTGGTGGTGGTGGTGGTGGTGGTGGTGGTGGTGGTGGTGGTGGTGGTGGTGGTGGTGGTGGTGGTGGTGGTGGTGGTGGTGGTGGTGGTGGTGGTGGTGGTGGTGGTGGTGGTGGTGGTGGTGGTGGTGGTGGTGGTGGTGGTGGTGGTGGTGGTGGTGGTGGTGGTGGTGGTGGTGGTGGTGGTGGTGGTGGTGGTGGTGGTGGTGGTGGTGGTGGTGGTGGTGGTGGTGGTGGTGGTGGTGGTGGTGGTGGTGGTGGTGGTGGTGGTGGTGGTGGTGGTGGTGGTGGTGGTGGTGGTGGTGGTGGTGGTGGTGGTGGTGGTGGTGGTGGTGGTGGTGGTGGTGGTGGTGGTGGTGGTGGTGGTGTGGTGGTGGTGGTGGTGGTGGTGGTGGTGGTGGTGGTGGTGGTGGTGGTGGTGGTGGTGGTGGTGGTGGTGGTGGTGGTGGTGGTGGTGGTGGTGGTGGTGGTGGTGGTGGTGTGGTGGTGGTGGTGGTGGTGGTGGTGGTGGTGGTGGTGGTGGTGGTGGTGGTGGTGGTGGTGGTGGTGGTGGTGGTGGTGGTGGTGGTGGTGGTGGTGGTGGTGGTGGTGGTGGTGGTGGTGGTGGTGGTGGTGGTGGTGGTGGTGGTGGTGGTGGTGGTGGTGGTGGTGGTGGTGGTGGTGGTGGTGGTGGTGGTGGTGGTGGTGGTGGTGGTGGTGGTGGTGGTGGTGGTGGTGGTGGTGGTGGTTGGTGGTGGTGGGGTGGTGGTGGTGGTGGTGGTGGTGGTGGTGGTGGTGGGTGGTGGTGGTGGTGGTGGTGGTGGTGGTGGTGGTGGTGGTGGTGGTGTGGTGGTGGTGGTGGTGGTGGTGGTGGTGTGTGGTGGTGGTGTGGTGGTGGTGGTGGTGGTGGTGGTGGTGGTGGTGGTGGTGGTGGTGGTGGTGGTGGTGGTGGTGGTGGTGGTGGTGGTGGTGGTGGTGGTGGTGGTGGTGTGGTGGTGGTGGTGGTGGTGGTGGTGGTGGTGGTGGTGGTGGTGGTGGTGGTGGTGGTGGTGGTGGTGATGGTTCTGTTGGGTTAGGTACAGGGCAGCAGAAGGCGTTGGGTAAGAAGGCAGGGAAGAAAAAGAGCAGCAGCAAGGGAAAGACGAGCAAGAAAGGAGGAGGCACCAAGGGGCAAACAGAACAGGAGCAGCAGCAGCAGCAGCAACAGCCTACAGCAATCAAGTCTCTAGAAGAGCTTGATGCTCTCAAGTCAAGCGCGCTTGCTCCTCTTTCCACCAAGAAAAAGCAGTCATCACCCGCAGCCGCAGCAGCAGTAGGAGAAGGGGGCGAAGCAGGGGCGCAGGCAGGAAGGAACAGAGGAGGAGGCGGTGAGAGGGTGTCGATACATGAGGGTGCGACGCCAAGGCTGAGTGCGTATGATCCCTGGGAGGATGAAGAGACTCGCATGCTTGAAGCAGCAGAGGCAGCAGACAGTATTGCAGGCGGAGCAGGGGGAGCAGGAAAAGCAGCTGGTCTCACTGCTGCTGGTTCTGGTTCTGGTGCTGCTGTTGGTGGTATTGCTGCTGCTGCTGCTGCTGCTTCTGTAGGCTCGCCCTTCCAATGGCCTGCAGTCGCCCCCTCCTTTTCCACCCTCGCCACCCCCCCCATGGATCATACAGCTGAGGATACTGCTAGTACTAAGACCAAGCGGAAAGGGAAGGGGGCAGGGAAAGGGGCCAAGAGCGCTGAAGCAAGGCTGCAGGGGAGGAACAGGAGGGAAGGGGACGAGGCTGCGGCTTCGGCCGGTGGAAAGAAAGGGAAGGGGAGAAAGGCAGTGGCAGGAGGTGCTAGTACTGAAGCTGATGCTATGGAGAACGATCGGATTAGCTCCAGTGGTGGTGGTGGTGGTATGGCTCGTAGTGGTAGTAGTAGGAACAGCATTATTGAGGCAGCTTTACGGAAAGGGTTGGCTAGGCGGGGTAGGCAGATTCATGCTGACCTGGCTGCTGCTGTGGTGACAGCGGCGGCAGCGGCAGCGGCAGCAGCAGTGGAGGCAGCAGCAAGAACGCCAGGCACTTCTGTTGCTTCTGCTGCAGCCGCGGCGGCGGCAGCGGCGGCGGCTGCAGGGGCAGAGGCTGTGGAACAGAGCTCATTGGGTAGACTTAGAAGGCAGCAGGTAAAGGCAGGCTCGGTGTCTCCTTCTGTGTCTGCAGAATTGAATGCGAAAGCAACAGGAGCAACAGCGGCAGGAGGAGGAGGAGAAGCGGCAGGGAGAGTGGTAGAACACAGAGGAAAGAACCAGCAGCAGCAGGGGCAGCAGGTGCAGCAGCTTCGTGGTAACATGCTACCCACTGCTGTCAGTGTGCTGAAAGCTAGCTCGCTGCTTGCCGGACCAAGCACCAGTGCAGACTCTCCTGCTGCCTCTCCCGCTGCTTCTTCCGCTGCTGCCTCGTCATCTGCAGCAGCAGCAGCAGCAGCAGGGGCAGGAGCAGGAGCAGGAGCAGCAGGATTAAGAAGCATGACTCGTGGGGACTCGGCTATCTTTGACTCACTACCCATGGGACCCGTGCAGGTGCAGGGGTACTATGCTGGGGAGGATGGGATGTTGCATAACAGCCCTGGCACTGGCAGCAGCAACGGCCGCAACGCTGCTGCTGATACATCCCCAGCAGCAGGAGCAGGAGCAGCAGGAGCAGCAGCAGGAGGAGGAGCAGGAGGAGCGTTGCTTGCAGAGGGCCCGGATTCCTTCGTGGACTTGAATCTAGAAGAGATTGGGGAGGCGGAGACGGGGAAGCAGCTAGTGTTTGCGGGACAGGCAGTGGAGCGAGCGGGAAGAGCTGCGAGATCGAACCGAGAGAGCAGAGCGGGCAGAGCAGGCAAAGGCATGGACGGTGCAGGTGGGAGTGTGGTGGGAGAATCAGAGATGCAGGGGACAGTGTCGGGGCGCAAGAGGAGCAGCAGCAAGGAGACTGTTGCGAGCACACGCCGACAGCTCTTCCCTTCGCCGCAACAGAAGAGTAAGATGAGGGATGGGCAAATGATTGGATGGAGATGGATGAATATGCATGGACGTTTATTTGTGGTTGCAATGCAGTGGCTTACAGCTGATCGCTTATCGCTCTTCTCTGCAGCTGAAGCATTGTTGGCCTTTGAGTAGCCATTGATCCTCGCCTTTAAAGCCGTCTCAGGTTCACGCTTTTCTTTTCTACTTGTCCCTTCCACCTCCGCTCACTTTTGTCGCCGCATTAGCAAAAGCCACCGCTCTCAAGTCATGTCGAGATCAGGCAGTTCCATGTTCCCCTCTTCTTGCTGCTAACCATACCTCCTCTTCCTCCCATCCTTTCCCCACTCCCTTCCCACTCCCGTTTCCCCACAAACCCACCCACCCACCCACCCACCCACCTGCCCACATCACCCCGATGCAGCAACAGTCCCGTACTACGGCTCCTTCTCCCCAGCCTCGCTCCTCCACTCCGCGCAAGTCCTGGAGCACCAGCAGCAGCGCTCCAAGGGCTACTCCGCGCTTGACCGCTCGCTCCTCACCGCCATCCTCTCCGCCCTCGACTCGCCCCGCGACTGGCTGTCCTTCTCCCTCGTCTGCAAGTCCTGGCGAGCCGTCGCTTACCACGGGCTACGCTCCCTCCGCCTGGTGCGAGGCAGGAGGGTCACCCTCGAGGGGTTAATCCGAGCCCTCGCTCACTGCCCGAACCTCACGTGTTTGGATATTCCGGGGATGTGCTTGGATCAGCCGGTAGGGAACGATCTGCTGTGTACGATTGGGTACTCGTGTCCGGATCTACGGCGGCTGTCGATCGGTGCGGATTCAGAGCTAGGGTCGACGTTTCAGGAGAGCGGGCTGGCGATGCTGTTCTCGGGGTGTACGAATCTTGTGGAGGTTAGGATTGAGGCGTTTCGGAGGCAGCACGCGCGGAGGAGCGGCGCGAGCAGCAGCAGCGGTAGCACTGGTAGTGTTGCTGGTGGTGTTGCTGGTGGCGGTGGGGGAATGAGTGGGGTGGGCCCTGGAGGCATGAGCATGGGAGCAGAGAAGTCTCCTGGTAGATCTCTAACCCCTGCAGCGGCTGTATCCCCATCAACCCCAGCAGCAACACTAGCAGCAGCAACAGCAACAGCAGCGTCTGCCCCAGCACGAGCTGCGCCTTCTGCTTTGGCATCAGCAGGACCCTCATCAGCAACAGCAGCATCAGCAGTCTCAGCAGCCGCCGCCGCCACCACAGCAGCAGCAGCAGCAGCAGCAGGAGGGGACGACTGGGATATCTCCTATATCCCAGAATCCCTAGGTGACCTGTCCAAGCTCCAGTCCCTCTCCCTCAACTTCCACAACGGCCAGCACCACGTGCGCCTACCCGACTCCGTATCCAACCTAACCGCTCTCCACTCCCTCGAACTCGCCTTCCACTACCCCGCATCCCTCCCGCCCTCCCTCTGGTCCCTCACCAACCTCCAAACTCTCCGCCTCGTCGGCTGGAAAGGCCTGGCTTTCCTCCCCAACTGCATCGGCGACCTTCGCAGCCTCTGTACTCTTGATCTCCGCTGCTCCGACTTAGTCGACCTCCCTCCCTCCGCCGGATCCCTCCCGTTCCTCCGAGAACTAGTCTGGGAGACCAGGCGCACGCGGGAAATGGAGCTGTACGGCTCATCCATCCCGCCCTCCATAATCGCTTTCTCCGACATATCCCATCTCACGCTCAAAAACGTCTGGACCGCATCGGACGATCTGCAGCACTTGACCTCTCTCACGCGGTTAGAGCTCTGGGGCGCTAAGGGGCACTTGCGGGTGCTCCCAGAGGCTCTAGGCGAGCTAGACCGGCTGGTCTATCTCGACGTAAGAGGGTCGTTCCGTGTCGTTCCCTCCTCCATAGGCCGCCTGCGCCGCCTCGAGACCCTCATACTGCTCAGCGAAGTTTTGGAGCTGCTGCCCGCGGAGCTCGGGCAGCTCACGAATCTCCGCGAGCTGAGGCTCGATGGGTGCCGGTCTAACCCCAAGCTGCCCGCGTCTCTCTGGACTCTCCACAACCTCCGAACCCTCTCCATGCCCTGCGACCGAGTCCCTGAAGAGATCGGTAATCTCAACTCTCTTCACTCCCTTGCAATCGAATCCGATACCCCCCGTTCCCTTGCCAACACCTTCCTCCCTGCTCCCATCGGCTGGTTGTACGAGCTAAAAGAGCTCCGGCTAGTCTGCCCCTACGTTCGCTCCCTCCCCTCCTCCTTCGTCCTTCTGGGGAACCTACTCGACCTCCAGTTGCAATTTTCCGGGCCGCTTCCGAAGAATTTCGGCGAGCTGAACTCTCTGCAGAGGCTCGTATTGGACAGCCGGGAAGTTTACGCGCTGCCCGAGTCTTTCGGGGAGATTCGCACGCTCGAGTCCCTCACTCTGGTCTGCGAAAAACTTGCGTCGCTGCCCGACTCGTTCGGGAACCTCTCCTCGCTGCGCTCGCTCACCCTCGTCCACTGTGCAAATCTTTCTACGCTGCCCGTCTCCTTCGGGAAGCTGAAAAATCTTTCCCGGTGGGAGGCGCAGTGCAAGGAGCTTTTCTGGCTGCCCGTGTCAGTGGGCAATTTAGTTTCTCTCCAAAGCTTGGAGCTTGAGAGTGATGTGATTACTCAGTTACCAGACACGTTTGGTAACCTGCGGTCACTCCGGAGCCTTCGTCTTGTGTGCCCGGCGCTGCGCTCGCTGCCTGCTAGCTTCCGGAACCTTCCGGACCTGGTGCAGGCGAATGCTGGAGTGGGCTCGTTGCTGGGGCAGTGAAGAAGCTGCAGGGAAGTTTCAGGGAAGAGCAGAGAAGCTGCAGGGGAGTTTCAGGGAAGGAGCAGTGAATCTGCAGGGGAGTTGCAGTGGGTGATTCCTCGTGTGATGATGAGATCTCCTGTGATCTGATCTGATTCTGGGTGCCTCGTGTGACTGCTGCTGTCATGTGCAAAGACTTGTGCTCTGTGTGCTTTTGCTTTGTGTGTGTGTGGTGGGGGGGGGGAAGGGGGTTGGGGGGAAGGTCTGGAGTGCAATGCAGACTGCAAGTTTTGCACCTTGCTTCACTTCCCCTGCTTCTTGTTCTTCTACCTCCCCGTTTCCCCTTTAGGCATTTCATTTCCCAGCTTGCCTCGACTCGCCTTTTTTGTTGCAGTTGCTAATTATTTGCTGGCTGCTTTGTGCTAGAAACTAGAGGTTGAACGGCTGGTTTTGTGTTCCAGTTAGAACTGTGCGCGCTGTTCACGGTTGCTCTAAGTTGCAACGCTTAGGTAATAATTATTGCTTTAGCTTGTTAAGATATAGAGGGATGGTCGGGGCCTAAGAGGCCTTGCCAGTCCTTGAACGACTTGAATGTATCCATGCTCTTATTTTTTTTTCAGAGTTTAGATTCATGCAGATGGGTTTGCAATATGCACGAATAGGGCATTTCTGGCATTTGTTGAGAACTGGAAGCTGATTCCGTGCTTTATAATCAAGAGGCATAAACGCGTACCTGGGACTAAAACGAACAAGCCAACGCCCAAACAGATTCAGCTTTAGCGAGTACACGGCTTGCCAATGTCTCCATCCGCGATTGAAGCTGCCACTTTTTCCAGCAGCCGCGGTACTGCTGGTGAACTAAGCTGGCTGTTCTTATTCCGTTCCAATCCGAGCTCAGCAACAAAAATCTTCCTGTTTCCTCACGGAACGTCCTCTTTGTCGAAGCAGCAGGAGTAGCGGGAGCAGCGGGAGCAGCGCGGGTAGCGGAAGCAGCGCGGTTAGCGGAAGCCGGGGGAGGAATAGGAGCAGTGGGAGGAGAGCGAGGAGCGCAAGTAGCGGGATTTGCCGGTAGCAGCGCAATTAGCGGGAATATCGGGAGTAACGGGAGGAGCGGGAGGAGCAGGAGTTGCGGTGTAGCATTCTTCCTATACCGGCTAGGTTCTTATCGAATTAAGTCTGCTACGATGACGGAGGTAAGGAAGCTGGGTACACGACGTGAACGTCTTCATCTGCGTATCAAGGTTATTCGTTTCAAGTGGCACGCGTTCTAGGGTTACCAGTTTCGAGTGGCTCGCGGGGGTTTGACGTACAGCGCGGGGATAGACAAGAGCGCGGACCCACGCTCCCCCTTACTTACCCGCATGCCTCGTGCCCTGCTCATCGAAACCCGAGAATTTCAACAGAAGTAGGAAGCTGCTTTTCAGGCTTCTCGAAAGCTCCAGATTTTGATGATGAAAACTCAGATTTCAAGTTGCTGATGAGACTTCCAAGAAGCAGCTCTCGAGTTTGTTTTTCAGCCTACTTTTAGGTGCCTTAAATTGCTTCTGAAGCATTAAAAGCCTTAATGCTGGCCGTCACGGCCAAGCTCAGCGTCATCCCTTCCCTGCATCCCCTCCCCCTCCCCCTCCCCTTCCCCCTGCATCGTTCCATCCCTCCCATGTTCCCCTGAGCCCCTGGTTCCCCTGTCTCCTCCCCCTTCCCCACCTTACCCCCCCCCCCCCAAGTATTAGGTGAGTCAGGGGCTGCACTGGTGACTTTTGAGTCGACTCAAGAGTCAGGGGCAGCACTGGTGCGAGTACTGCCGCATCTTCCCCCTTTCTTCCACTACACACAGAACTCCCTTCCCCTTTCCCCCCTCCCGCTCACCCTCTTTCCCCCACCGCCAGTACTGGGTGAGCCAGGGGCAGCACTGGTGCGAGTACTGCCGCATATTCCTGGCCAACAACGCGGCGTCCATCCGCATGCACGAGGGCGGCACCAAACACAAGGAGGCCGTCGCTGCCAAGCTCAGCGCCATCCCTCCCTCCCCTGCACCCTGCATCCGCTCCCCTGCATCCACCTCCCCTTCCCCTTCCTCCCACCAGCACTGGGTGATTCAGGGGAAAATACTAACTCGTTCCTTCCCCCCCTCCGGTTTCCCCTGGTCCCCCTGTTCCCCCTACTCGCCCCCCGGCCCCCTGTCCCCTCCCCCTCCCCCCTCGCCAGTACTGGGTGAGCCAGGGGCAGCACTGGTGCGAGTACTGCCGCATATTCCTGGCCAACAACGCGGCGTCCATCCGCATGCACGAGGGCGGCACCAAACACAAGGAGGCCGTCGCTGCCAAGCTCAGCGCGATACGCAGGGAGGGCAAGCAGAAGGAGCGCGAGAAGGAGGAGGCTGAGCGGGCTATTGCCGCTATAGAGGAGGTGAGAGGGTGGGGAAGATGTGAGGGGTGGGGGTGGGGGAGAAGGATGAGAGGGAGGGTGGGAGGGTATGAAGAGCATGAAGTGTGTGCGTTTCAAGTGTTTTGGGGGAATGGGAGGGGGGTAGGGTAGCTAGCAGGGTGGAGGGAGTGGGTTGTTGTTTGTTGAGTGGGTTACAAGTGTTGTTATTCTCAAGAGCATGCGCGGCACAAGGAGGCCGTTGCCGCCAAGCTCAGCCCGCTATCTGCTAGGAAGGCAAGCAGAAGGAGCGCGAGAAGGAGGAGGCTGAGAGGGCTATTGCCGCGATAGAGGAGGTGGGAGGGTTTAAATGCGGGTGTAGGAATGGGGGGGGGACAGCTGGGAAGCGGCGGGGGGAAGGAGAGTGGAAGCTGATGTGAGCAGAAGCAGAGCTGTGATGAAACAGTAAGAGGTTAGTGAAACATCAGTGGTGTTGAGGAGCAGCAGAATGGAGAGGGAGTGGGTTGTTGTTTGTCGAGTCTTCTCAAGAGGCGCTTGATCCTTGAGCTGCAAGGAGATGTGTGGGGAATGGGGCAGGTGGGAGGGTGGGGCGTGGGAGGGCAAGCAGCGCAAGCATTAGCTACCCGTCTCTTAAAGCCTCCGTGTTGTTCGCCCTTCCTTTCCCACCGTCTCTCTCCCTCTCCCCGTCACGCTGCATCTCCGTGTGTGTGTGTGCGTTCAGGCAGCGAAGAGGCAGTACGAGAAGGACGTAGCGGAGCAGAGGCGGCAGCAGCACCAGCAGCAGAAGGGATCAGAGATGCAGCAGCACAGAGAAGCAGTGGCTGCAGCCGTTGCTGCTGTCGACGCCGCTTCCTCTGCTGCTGCTGCTGCTGGTGGGGAATCGGCGGGAGAGCCGACCATTCCCCCTCCACCGCCTCCCCCCCAGTCGAAAAACGTTTCTGCTGATGGTATGTTTGTCGCAACAAGTGACGTCCATTCCTTTCCTAAGGGCTGTATCTTCGCGTTTACTATTAAAATACTCCCCATCACGACGTGTGCTAAAGAATACTGACGCCTGTATCGTGAGATCCTCGTATCTCCTTTCTTTTCCCACCTCCCCCACCATCTCTCCCTCATGCTCCTTCCTTTCCTTTTCAACTCCCTTCCTTCCCCACATTCAATGCCCCCCCTTCTCCTCTCAACCTTCCCTCATCTCTCAACCTCCTCCCTCGCTGCACTGCCTGATCAGAGTGGGTACTGGAGGAGAGCAGCGGATACCACTACAGCCACTGCTCGGGTTACTTCTATGACTCCCAAGTCAGGGCTCCCCTCTCCACTCACTCTACTCCCCCTTCACCCGCTCTCTTTTCTCCCATCACTGCTCCATCCATCAGAGTGGGTACTGGAGGAGAGCAGCGGATACCACTACAGCCACCGCTCGGGTTACTTCTATGACTCCAAGTCTGGGCTCTACTATTCAGATTCCATTGGTGCGTGCTGCCATGCCGTGCCATGCCATGTGTCATGCCATGTTTCATGCCATGTGCTGCCGTGCCATGCCGTGCCTTGCCCCATTATGCCTGACCCACCCTGTCCCCCTCCTTCCCCATCACCACATTCCCCTCACCTCGCATCATTTTCTCCCCCTCTCCCCTCTCCCTGTCCCCTGTCACACAGAGCGCTGGTGCAGCCATCAGGAGGTATCAACCCTCTCAGCAACCTCCCCCAGAAAGCCCTTCCCACTTTATCCTCACTCTCCCCCTCCCCCTCCCCCTCCCCCTCTCCGTCCCCCTCTTCCCCCCCCCTCCCATTCCCTGTCACACAGCGCGCTGGTGCAGCCATCAGAAGGTATCAAACCTCTCAGCAGCCTCCCCCAGAAAGCCCTTTCCACTTTATCCTCACTCTCCCCCTCCCCCTCCCCCCTCCCCGTCCCCCTCTTCCCCCCCCTCCCATTCCCTGTCACACAGCGCGCTGGTGCAGCCATCAGGAGGTATCAACCCTCTCAGCAGCCTCCCCCAGAAAGCCCTTTCCACTTTATCCTCACTCTCCCCCTCCCCCTCCCCCTCCCCGTCCCCCTCTTTCCCCCCCTCCCATTCCCTGTTACACAGCGCGCTGGTGCAGCCATCAGGAGGTATCAACCCTCTCAGCAGCCTGCTCTAGAAAGTCCTCTTCCGTGTCTTCCCTCCACAATTTAGCTGTTCCCCATTTCCCCTTGCCCTTTTCAACCCCTCCTGTCACACAGCGCGCTGGTGCAGCCATCAGGAGGTATCCACCCTCTCAGCAGCCTCCCCCAGAAAGCCCTCCCCAGCGGCTCCTAACTCGCAACAACCCACCACTGCTGGCACCACAGCTGCCCGGAAAAACCCTGCCGGGGCAGGCGGGCCTGCCCCAGGCCCCGTTCGGGCAGGCGCCAAGAAAGCTGTGGGGGGGAAGGCAGTGGTGAAAGGGGTGGCTTCGTCGGTTGCGTGTGATCCGAATGCGAGGAAGCGGGGGAGGAAGATGAGTGAGGAGGAAGAGAAGGCGTTGGCTGCAAGGGAGGCTGCGAGGAGGAGAACGCAGGAGCGGGAGAAGAAGAGCCTTGGCCTGTACTCCTCTTATTGAAGTTTTTGGCTCAGTTTCAGGGCGTGTTCCTACGGCCCCCTATCAGAGCTGCCTCATATCAGCCTAGCAATTCTCGCTTGTAAATTTGCAAGTTCGCCAAAACCTCTTGTCAGATGTACCGTACTTGCCGGTTTGAGCTGTTGCGCGACTGTAAATGAGCGCTGATGTGGCACCATGCGACTCAACCCTGTAAATGTGCGCAACGACACGCCCGTCTATTGCCAGACTAAACCATCACCACCACCACGTAAGCATTCCTGCAGCACCAGTCCCATCTACTCTAGCCAAAGCATAACAAGCGGGAACGGACTCGCCTCCCGCTGCAACTGATGATAAACTGTCGAGAACCAGCTAAATGGGTTATTAATTACCTCCAGCCACCATGAATGATGTGCCTTTTCTCCCTAGACTCTTAATTGTGTGGCATGCTTTTTATTACAACACCTTCCTCGCGCTTGCTACGAAAGCTTGTACTGAGTTGCTCGAGCAGATAGACCAGGCCGCAAATGAGGAAACTAGCGGAGAATCCCGTAGTGCGATCCGGGCACGGAATCGAGGTCTGAGGCGGCGACGCCTAGGGATATGGGTGGATGAAATGGAGGCGATGCCAGAGGAGGTTTTCATGGACTTGTTCAGAATCAATCGATCCATTCTAGACTACATCAGTGAAGGAATGCGCTCAGTTCTAAACCCGGTCATACAAAAACACTCCTTACCGATTAGCATCGCCATACTTGTGCCGATCAAATACTTCGCGAGCGCCATGTCGTACATTGACCTCGCGTTCTGGTTTGGGGTTCCGAAGACGCTATGCCACTTACTCGTAGACATTTTCCTCACAAACTTCCCGCGCGTCTTTAAATCGGACTGGGTCCGATTTCCATCACAAGAAGAGATGCGGACGATGGCAGAAGAGTTTAGGAGCATAAAGGGTGTTCCAGCAGTAGTGGGTGCAATAGATGGCACGCATTTAGAAAGCTTGCTTTCTTATACTGATCATTTGGCATCGTTCTCATTGCAACTGGATTTGGCATCGTTCTCATTGCAACTGGCAAATTACAACATGCACCTCGAGCTAGACAATATAGATGCTAGTACATGACCTGATTCCACCTACCATAGCATTGTACTAGCTATCCTGCATTATGCGTGCGTACTACCAATCATATGACTAACTGTCTGTCCTCCTGTTCCAGCGGCGTCGCAGATGTCCTCGGTGTCGGGGTGGGGGGTGGGAGAGTTGCATGAGCCGTTGGAAAATGAGAGACGTGGGTGGAGGGAAATGAGCTCCAACCCACGTTTTGTAGTTGGAGAAGGGCGTTTAGCGCGCTTCGACAATGCCAAATCTGCGTTACAGGCAGCTGCGCTTTCGAAATACGTAATTTTGAAAAACACTTCGTGTGTTTAAAAATTATCATATTTAGAAAGCTTGCTTTCTTATACTGATCATTTGGCATCGTTCTCATTGCAACTGGGGTCTCTGAGACATGGGCAGCGGGGGCTTTCGATGGCGGACGAGTGCCTCGGCATGCTGCGCTGAAGAAGGGGCGTATGCCAGATCTTGCAACTGACGGGAGGCGTTGACGAGGTGTTCGGCGTTGGGCGTGACGTACATCTCCTTCGCTGTGTCGCTGCGCCATCTGCCCAGTCGTTTGAAGATTCTGTCTGGCACACTGGTGTTTGCCGCGGCAGTGGCTGCTCCTTTGCGAAAGGAGTGAGTGCCCAGCTGCTGTTCTCCTAATCCGATCCTCCCGAACGCTTCTTTACACCAGTTTCGGATCGTCGGGTATGATGGCGGCCTTGCTTGGCCACTTTGGGGTGAACCGCGTCCAAAGACTCGAATAAGTGGCCCCGCGGACTGCTGGTTGTACCCCGCAAGTTGGATGAGTCGTCGGGTGCAGCGGACGGGGCAAAAGGGGTCATGAGTTGCGGCGATGGGTATCCATGTGCCCCTTCCAGCTTGGTCCGTCTTGGAGTACGGAATTAGAATCCACATGACCTCGTTCTCGAACTGGATGTCTTGCCACTCGATGACGATGAGGTCCGAGTATCTTAAAAATCCGGTGTACATGAGGATGGGGATTAGCCCCTTTTGGAACTCTCCTGGGTTGTCGGATTGCAGGTAGCTGGCAGACATGTCGTGGACTTGTTGCAGCGAGACAGGCTCCTTCACTCGCATGGGGCGAGGGCAGTGCCTTTTTGCGAAATCGCGTACTTGAGTGGTGAATGGTCCGATCGTTGGGCAGATGCTCCCAGTCATGCGGTGTGCAAAGCTCACGGCTGAGCATGTGAGTTGTACCATGGACAAGGTGGCTTTGTGTTGGATCGCGTACACCAGGTACAGCGCGAGGGTCATGTCCGCCGTGGGGAGGAATGGGAGGTTCACCTTTGCACAAAAGGCTCGAAACTTGACCCAGTATGGCTCATATGTTCGGATTGTTGAATCGGCCCGAGACTGGGAGAGCATCTTTAGAAGCTGGACTTGTAGCTTCGGCAACACGTCTGCGCACAGGCGTATGGGCGGGTTAGTTGAAGACCACTCGTAGTGCAATGATTGTGCTATGAGGCAGTCCTGTGCCTGAGAATGCAGTGCGGTGCGTTCCTACTGCTAGACATTGGCTGCCGTGCGTCAGGGGAATGTGCGCTCTGATGTGCGGGGCCCAGTTTGGTGGGGAGGGTTGTAAGAGTGGCCACCAGTTTGCCCCCGTCCAGTGTGGGGCAATTAGGGTGAGTGATGCGTGGGTGCGTTGTGCGTGGTGGATGACTGCTGGGATCAGCTGGGGTGGTGGGAACGCGAAGTCATTCTCGGCTGTCCATGAGCATGAGAATGCATCAACCGCAGTAGCCTCTGGGTGAGGGATCTTTGAGCAGAATCGTGGCAGATGCGAGTTGCGATGGTTCGCGAAGAGATCGATGGAGTAGGGTCCCCAGCGGCGATCAAGGATTCGGAACCATGGTTGCTTCAGTGAGTAATCGTCATGGTCGATCAGTTTCGACAGCTCGTCGGCATGGGAGTTAAGCTCACGCGGGATCCATTCGACAATTAGTCGAGTGCCGAGCTCCATGCAGGTGCGAATGATGAAGAAGACCCCTTGGTTGTCCACCCTCACGAGCACGTGTTTCCGTCGGACCTTGTTCGCGTACGTTCGGAGGGCCCATAGGACACCTTCGATTTCCCGTCGGGTGCTGGACGTTGCGTGCAATGGTTCTGGCATGGCTGCACTGGCTTCTTCGAGTTCGCCAGGGAAGGTGAGCAGAGTGGCACCCCAACTGTGGGAACTGGCGTCCACGTGGATTACGGCGTCGTAACTGTTCCGGACGTGGAATGGTGCGCCGTTGAATCTGTCGAACTCCTCAAGCCAGAATTGCAGCTCCTCGGCCACAGACGGGGAAATGCTCACACTGCTTCCCCAGGATGGCGCGTCGTTGATCGCTTGTAACATGGCGTGGCTGAATGCGCGCGCCGTGGCACCTAGCGCGACAGCCATTGACGCGAGCGTGCCAGTGATTCTAGCCAGGTGGCGGACTGGGACCTGCCGACGTGCTTTGCTTGCGCCCAGGAGATTGAGAATGTGTGCATGAAGTGATGCTCGTCGATCGGTGCCAATGGAGAATTGTCCGGAGTTGGTATCCAGCTCGACGCCCAAGAATCGCAGGTGTTGTGACGGTGACAGCTGCGACTTTTTCGCGTTGATTACCAGGCCCGCCATCTTGAGGTCCGAGATTATCATCTGGCACGTTGCTTGTGCATGTGCCTTGGACTTGCATAAAAACAGGATGTCGTCCACATAGGGTACAACTCGGATGCCTTGTTCGCGCCAGCGCCTGGCTAGTTGTTTGATGAGTTGTGTGAAGACAAATGGTGCTGTCGCGAGGCCGAAGGGCAATGAGCGGAAAGAGTACGTGCTCCCCTCAAATTCGAAGCCGAGGAATGTCCAGCATGAGTGGTGTATGTCGATGTGATGGTATCCGGATTTGAGGTCGATGGAGAACATCCAGTCGCCTGTGCGTGCCAGGTCGGCAACGCGGCTTAGCCCTTCGTATTTGAATTTGGGGATGATTAGTTGCGCGTTCACTTTCCGGAGGTCGAGAATAAGCCTGCATTTGTCACGTTGCTCAACCACGTTGAGTGGGCTGATGCATGTTAGTTCCGCTGCTGGGGTAGCTACCGCCGCTCCGGTATCTGTCAGTTCGCGAATGGCAGTGCGTGTGAATGCCGCGTGTGTGTGCGCGCCGAGATGGTTGCGCTCGTGAAACGGTTGTGGGGGGTTGTGGCTCCATGGTAGCCAGTAGCCGTTGGCGATGACCGAGAGGATGAGGCTACTTGGGCACCACGAGCCCCACCATGCGAGGGTTGCGCGAAGCCGCCCGCGCATTTGCGTGACGGTCTTGTCTGTGACGGCGAATTTGTACGGATCGTCGTCGTCGAACACCTCATGGCGTATTGCCGCTGCATGTTTGCGGAATGACAATGGAGCGGGAATGCGAAATGAGGTTCCTATGGATATGATTTCCAGCCTTCGTGCGTGAAATGGCGGTGCATGTGATGAATGCGTGCTTGTTGACCCATTCGAATACCATTTGTCACCCCTAGCATCCGCATTGTACGGGTTTTTTTTTTTTTTTTTTTTTTTTTTTTCAATCCACCAACCAAGGTGCGGGTGTGAGTCTTTCCGCGTGGTCACGTGGCCACAACAGGAGGAGAGGGAAGGAACTCTCTCGTGTCCTCTCTCTCTCCCTCTCTCTCTCTCTCTGCCTCTCTTCATTCTCGCATACACACACACACCCTCTCTTTTGTTCTCACTCTTGCTCACCCAAGGCAATGGCTGCCCGTCCGATGAGTGCAAGGGCCATTGATTGGGGTCGTACGGTACATATCTTCGCCCCTTTTTTTTTTTTTTTTTTTTTTTTTTTTTTTTGCCTCCATCTCCCTTTCTCTCCTTCTCTCTTCTTCTTCTCCTTCATCTTCTTCTTGCTCTCACTCTCTCTCCCTTTTTTTT